GCCCTCACGGGTGCTCGACCCACAGCCCCTTCCCCGGCCCCCCTCAGCTGGGCGTCCCCTTCTCCTCGCCGGGCTCTTCTTTCCCCCGCTTGCTTTAGGCACGCCCTAGTTGAGCTGTATGGACTGGAGCAGCACTGGAGCATGTTGCCGGGCCGTGGTGTGTTGCTCATCGCCAGCCGGACCAGAGATCAAGCTCCTGCTAGTTGCTCTGGTAGTTTAATAGATTAATCCCTTTTATATTTTCCTTCCTGTGTATTTTAGATGCCAAATGGAAAACAGTAACTGACCAAATTAAGAGAGCTGTGGAAGTCTACAAGCCATGTGTAAAGGAGAATTGCAGCTGCCACCAAAGGTGAGAGACTGGTTTCCTTTTGACTGCGCAGGCCTGTGGCCCTGAGAGGGAATACTTTTGCCAGCATTGCTGGGTGGGAATTAGCTAGAGAACATTTGGGCTCTCAGGTGTCACATCTGCAGCCATCGTAGGTTATGGCCCTTGCAAGAGGGAGGTCATTAATGGCACTGTGTGAAACAGGTTGGCCTCCATAGTTCCAATAGAAGGTGTGTCAACCTGCAAATTGATCACTCTCCTTGTCCGCTGTGATTGAACAACAAACACTATGTCAGCTTCTCATATATGATCACACAATAAACCCATACACAGCTGGTGATATTTCTCTGTTAATGATCTTCTGCCTTCTCTCTCAGTGCAATGTTACTAACAGGTCTTTCTCATGGGCTTTTAAAAGTGGGAGAAATCGAGTATGTGCAAAATATTTTGAAATGGTTAGATTAAGAAAGATTGTTACCAAACACAGATTTGTTTGGCATGATAGTGTGTTGTACTTCACTCACTCCCTGTGCTTGGCCAGGGCTTCCAGTGGAAGAGGGGAGGTTAGAATTGGAGGAGTGCTCTTTCTAGGGAGTTCGGCTTACTGCTTGTGAGAATTGGAGTGGCAGTGGATATTTAACTACCTGATTTTCACATGACCAAAGTATGATCTAAGAGGAGCTCATTCAGGAAAATACAAGTCCTGTTTTGTTTGGGTTTTTTGTTTTTATAACTATGGAGCATTATGCAAAATGCCAGCACTCTGCCTAATCTTCCTACAGTGACATAGTGCAGAGAGCCAGAGGTGGATGCAAGACCACTGTAGGCGGTACAACTGTAGACATAGCCAAACCAGACTTGCCTTCTGCTCCACTGGTAGAGCATGACTTCGGCATGGAGAGTATTACAGGTGCGTAGGTCATCACTGTTATGTGGGTAGGGACTGTATGACTGGGTTTTTCTGATATCTTTAAGCAGTGTGTTTATTTGAAGGGGAAGAGGGAATACAAGGCAGAGTCAAAATATTCTTTTGTCCTTAGGATTTGGATTCCAAACAGAGAAACACAGATGCCCAACTTTAAGCCTCCTATTTAAAAAATACCAGATCTGCTCACTCATTTTGGGTGTGAGAAGAGTGCTATTTCGGCTTTTAATATCAGATGAGTCGTGTTGTGCAACTGTTTGTACACTGTTTGGAGTTCTTGATCTTCATTGCTCTTGAAATATTCATGAGGAGAAGTCTCTTCTAGTTTAGCCTTCCAGTCTTTTTCCTCAGTTCCAATTCAGATACAGCCTAAAGACATCTCCTAGTCTTTAAACATATGCTCCACCGTCTCCTGCCCACCTTTGGGAAGGACACCTTCCCAAGTGGTTACAACCTCCAAACCTGCTTCAGAACATGATAGGCAGTAGTAACATGAAGTTATGGATGCTGTGGGTCTTGAAACCTAGTTTTCATTAAAGCAGTAGTTTATTTAAGGGTTGTTAAGGAGCACTGCTATAGTGACAGGCATTACAAAGGAATCCAGGAAGATAATAGGGCACACGCGCTCTGAGAAAATTGATTCATTTTGATACCTGATTTGCAGGGATGTAAACTTGCAGCAGAACACTGAAAGCCAGTACTTTTCCCCGTATGACAGATTCTACTTGTGTCTAGTCTTCTGTGACTCAGTGGCCAAGGACTGAAGGTCCTAACTTGTTTGTTGCTACCTTTCAGTTGTCACTTAGGTTACAATGACATGGATGTGCCATAAAACTGCAACTCTTGTCCTGTTCTCAAGCTCGTTACATTTGCATCCCTGGCAGACTGCTTATACTGTGGTCAGTCCATCTGCACAATGGCAATTCTTTATGTAGTTTTACTGTTTTATACCTGATAATGAAATAACAGAATCCTGGAGATTGGAGGGGACTTCTTGAGATCATTAAGTCTAACCCCTCTGCTCAAGCAGTGTTGCCAGGACTGTGTGCAGTTGGGTTTTGAATATCTCAAAGGATAGAGACTCCACTGCCTCTCTGGGCAACCTGTACCAGTGTTTGACCACCCTCACAGTGGGATCACCCTTACAGTGTTGTATCAAACCAAGGCATTGATGCAGTGTCTACCAAAAAGTGGGCAGGACATCTCTGTGGCTGTTACAATCTGACAGTGTTCATTAACCGTTCCAAGCAGTTAGGTCTGAAGACCTTTAGACTAAATTGCATGGGCAACAAACAGGAGGAGCTGGAAGCCATTGTGCAGCAGGATAGCTATGACTTAGTTGCCATCACAGAAACATGGCGGGATGACTGGAGTGCTGCAATGGATGGCTGTAAGCTCCTCAGAAGGGATAGGCAAGGAAAGAGAGGCAGTGGGGTGGCTCTGTATGTTAGGGAGTGTTTTGAGTGTATGGAGCTTAATGATTGTGATAATAAGGTCGAGTGCTTATGAGTAAGGATGAGGGGGAAGGCCAATGAGGCAGAGTGTGTTAGACCACACAACCAGGATGAAGAGGTAGATGAAGCATTCTACGAGTGGCTGGCAGAAGTCTCATGATCTCTAGCCCTTGTTCTCATGGGGGACTTCAACTTAACAGATGTCTGCTGGAAATACAACACAGCAGAGAAGTAACAGTCGAGGAGATTCCTGGAGTGTGTGGAAGATAATTCCTGACACAGCTGGTAAGTGAGCCTACCAGGGAAGGTGCCTTGCTTGACCTGCTGTTTGCTAACAGAGAAGGACTGGTGGGAGAGGTGGTGGTCAGAGGCTGTCTTGACCTTAGTGACCATGAAATGATAAGAGTTCTCAGTTCTTGGCGAAGTAAAGAGTGGAGTCAGTGAAACTACTACCATGGACATCCGGAGGGCAGACTTTGGCCTGTTCAGGACACTGCTTGAGAGAGTCCCTTGGGAAGCAGACCTGAAGGGCAAAGGAGTCCAGGAAGGCTGGGCATTCTTCAAGAAGGAAGTCTTAAAGGCACAGGAGCAGGCTGTTTCCATGTGCTGTAAGATGAACTGACAGGGAAGACAACTGGCCTGGCTGAACCAGGGAGCTTTTGCTGGGACTCAGGAAGAAAAGGAGAGTTTACCAGTTTTGGAAGAAGGGGCTGGCAACTCAAGAAGAGTACAGCGATCTCGTTAGGTCATGCAGAGAGAAAATTAGAAAACCAAAAGCCCAGCTAGAACTCAATCTGGCCACTGTTGTAAGAGATAACAAAAAATGTTTTTTCAAATACATCGACAACAAAAAAAGAGCCAAGGAAAATCTCCATCCTTTACTGGATGCGGGCGGGAACATTGCCACCAAGGATGAGGAAAGGACTGAGGTACCTAATGCCTTCTTTGCCTCGGTCTTTAACAGTCAGACCAGTTATCCCCAGGGTATTCAAACCCCTGAGCTGGAAGACAGGGATGGAGAGCAAAACAAACCCCACATAATCCAGAAGGAAGCAGTTAACAACCTGCTGTGCCACCTGGACACTCGCAAGTCTATGGGGCTGGATGGGATCCACCCAAGGGTACTGAGGGAGCTGGCAGG